ACCGCCTCGTCTGTCAGCGCAGATGAAAGGGCGTTTATCGGACTGGTGGGTTTTAAACATGCCCTACATAGTTTATATTGAAATGATTATGATAGACAGGCACGACAGGGCACATCCCCTTGGCTTTAAAGCGAGCTAGATGCAGACAGGGAGAGAGAGAGAGAGGTGGAGAGAGAGCTGTCTTGTCTCGATCGAGCAATTTAGTGGCACATTAGATGAGACCACCTCACAGCGTGGCACTTATCTTGCCGCTAACTACCATGTTCGGTAAACTGCTAAATGCAGGCAATTATACTCCAGTCTGAGCACTACAATACACTGCTAACACGACTGTGATTACATGTGCCACCGGAGTCGACACAACCCACATACACACATATACACATATACACACATGTATGGGCTTAAGCAGGAGATATTGATTAGCTAATTCTTGGACAGCCTCCGCAACCCGTGCATGCTGTTGCTAAGGTTACAGGGAGGACTTAGAATTTACTGAATGCTGTTAAGGTCCTGTCAATAAGAAAGGAATAAAGCACAAAGTCACTCCAACAAATGACAGTGCTAAAATGGAAAACCAGAGTTGATACACTGACACAGTGGAAGATGATGAAAATGGTCTTATATAGTTGATACCTGGACCTCAGGGGCAGTAAGGTGGCTCAGTAGGCTCACCTAACAGTGTTTGAACACACTGGCATACAATACAATATGATACCATACGATACACTTTATTGGATGGATGCTGCCTTTTTTCCCTTTTCATGCTGGGATAGGCTCCACCCTGAACAACAAAAGCAGTTTAGAAAATTGATGGATAGGAAAATGTTGGTGGCCTATGTTCGATGACCATGTTACTGCAACATCCCTTTTTCAAGTCTGACCGGGCATCTTTGTTACATTTCATCCCCCTTCTCTCACTCCCCTCATTTTCTGTCTGTTCTATACTACATACTATAAAAACAAATAGTACAAAATGCATTGATGGAATAGACTGAATGAGGATGTCCATGCGAAACTATCTTAAAAGGCAGTCCCACCAGTGGCCACCCATATCTTGAGTCCAAGGAAAATGGACTGTAGGGCTCTGACTAATGATTATTTTCAATATCATTTAATCTGATGACTATTTTCTAGATTAATTAAATAATCATTTGGTCTATAAAATGTCGTATCTTGTCAATAAAATGAAAATAATGACATTTTCCCATCTGGGGGCGTCCTGGTAGCTCACCTGCCAAGCTGGTGCCCCATGTGGACTGTCACTGTCAGTTCACACAAACTACAAGAACCAAATAGGTATCTAGCCATGCAGTTAGTATATGAGAAGATTGGCTGATATATTGGCTAAGATATATTGCAGTTTCAATGCTATGAGGACACAAATGGGATGGAAGTGGAAATCAATAATAACTCAACGATAACCTGTACAGATAACACCAAAACTCTCTATTTTTAGTCATTTGGGTGAACTGGCCCTAAATGGGAAAATGTAAAGTCAATACACTTTGCCAAACGCAGGCTGGGACACAAAAGCAACATTCACTCTCTGACAAGCCTTTCAGTGTGGAAGTTGATGTGGTCGCCACTTGTTCCTCAGCTCCACCCAGGACCCAACACATTGTGCGGATATGGATGTTTGATTACTGGCTCACTCTAGTCATTTAAAAAAGATGGAGTTGAGCAGTAAACCCACACTTCTGGCTTTAACCTCTCACGTTACAGTCTTTAAGTCTAGTACATCATAGTCTGGGTCTAGCTGAGTTACAAATAGCAGCAGTAATGTTGCACGGTGTCTGACATCAAGCACACTCAATGTGTGTGTGTGTGTGTGTGTGTGTATAGAGAAGTTTTGTGCAAGTGTGTTTTCCTGCTCGGTGCCCTGGTGATAGATACTGATCGATGTGCACTGCCTGCTCTGTGTCTCTCAGCTCCCCTTAGCACTGATCCCGCTCTGGGATTTATGAAGCCCAGGGGGCTGATCCACAGCCAAATTATGTAGGCGGGGCACAGCTGGACTGCGCTCCTATCCATCTTCCCCACTCAACTCAAGCCTGAAAAAAAAAAAAGACGGGGAACTTTTAATCTTTCCAGCGCTGTAAATGCTGGGTTCTGTCAGGACCACAAATCACCTGGGGAGACAGAGTGGAAGTGTTCGCACAAGCTGCTGGGCTCAAACTTGACATCAGAGTAGCGGACGAGATGCTCTCCCAGCATGCAACTGCAGTGTTACATGCCTGTTAGCAGACGGGAAGGACTGCTAGAGCCAAATGGTTTGCCTCATGAACAAGGGTTTTTCATTTTCAATATGTACTGTCATGTACTGCAAGTGGCCCAAGTAGTAATTATGACAGCAGCAAAGAAGGAAGTCAGATGACTTTGCTATGGTGCGACAAAGTCCAGGTCTCACACCAAAGTTTGTAAAAGACCCGCTGATCCACCAGAGGATACCATGTCAGAGTCAGGTTTTGCCTCAAGAAGAGGTGAAAAGCAAACATGTTTATAAAGTGGCAGTACAAAAAGCTAAAAAGTCCATGCAGAGATGAAGATGATGTGGATGGATGGGTCAAACCATCACAGGACTTTCACCCAGGAGACTGCTGTTTGAGTCCTATGTGAAACCAAAAGTCAGGGTCGACTTAAGGGTACGTCATGTAACTCATGATCTTTTCCTAAACTTAACCCAATAGTTTTGTTGCCTAAACCTAACCAAACAGCAAACTCAGTAAGCTTTTTTTGAAGTGTAACCAGTGTTGCAAATGTATTGCTAACCTAACCACAGATTGAGCATGTATTGAAAAAGTGACACTGCTACGGTGGACCAATATGGTGGACCAATATGTGTATTACACGCTTTGCTGCAACGCTTGATACTGGGTTGCGGTATGGAGGAGGTCGGGATGGATGGATGACTCAACAAAATGTTGCTGTTCATTTCGAGCCATTAGTCAGCACTGGTTTCTTCTAACCATGACCAACATTATTTGCTAACCAAGTGTTTATTATTGTACCCATGACGATGAAGGTCCCTTAACTTTAACTAAATACTTATTTTAACTCGAACCACAATCTTTCCCAAAGCATAACCAAGTTGTTTTTGTGCATAAACCTAACCAAACCCTAACCAGAGCATCATTACATCATTGGACAGATTTTATGTTTCAACAGAAATTTGTAACTTTTATGGAAGACATGATCAGAAAACACTTCCATGTGTCCTTCTCAAGAGCAGCTTCAAAGTAAGTATTTTGTTGTTTCATTTAGAGGACTTGTTATATTTCCAAAGTAAATGAAGAAGTTTTTATCAAACCCTACTGAACAAGAGTAAATTACCCTTTACTTAAATGATGTTGTTTTCTGGTGTACAATCATTAATATGTTAATCTAATGCAAAATGCAGCCAGGCAGAGCGTTCTAACCTGGTAATTATGGTAATTATGTTGCATTCTTGTTCTTCAAATTAGGAACTGACTGATTTGTCTTGTCTTGTAGATGAGTACATTCACCGGTCGATTGCTGTATTTATTACATCTGCAGCTGAGTGTGTGTGTGTGTGTGTGTGTGTGTGTGTGTGTGTGAGTGAGTGAGTGAGTGAGTGAGAGAGAGAGAGAGAGAGAGAGAGAGAGAGAGAGAGAGAGAGAGAGAGAGACAGTGGCTAGCGTGGGCCTCACTGTTCAAACATCTCAAAGTTTGCCGACGCGTCGTCTGCCTGCCAGGCCTGAGACGGCTCCGGCTCCAGGATTTCACACACCTACCTGCCACATTCTCAAACTGCCTGACACTCAATTCACAAACACACACACGGCACAAAACACACACATACAGTATTATACAATTTAGAAGAGGGCGCTCACATCACACGAGGCGTCCAGATTCTGACACGCAAAGAGTCATGTCACTGTCACATGACCTGCACCTCATTCCTCGTTGCTATGACGACTCCCATGCCTCCTTGACCATGTCTGTCACATGTGGAGTTGTGCCCCCACCACTGCATCTCTCCATCCTTACAGAGAGGAGGAGCGTCTATGTGGCCTTTCACCCAAGAAACATGACTCAGAGTACACACCAATGAGTAAGTATATATTATCTTAGATCAGTGTCATATAAACACATTAATGCATTTTTACTTTGATTTGCTTAATGGATAGCTTCACAAAGTCTGTCTTAAAACAGTCAGGTGTCCCAATGAACACTGAAATAGGTTTTCCCTTTCAGTGGAAGTTCACATTATTTTTAGTCAGTGTTTCTTTGCTAAGCTATGGCGGACGGATAACACAAAGAACAAATGTCGTATGAAAAATAACTAATTTGTCATTTAGACTGAATATGAGCTTGAATGGAAATGGGGGACTTTGTCCCACATCTCTTACATTAAAATAATGTCCAAAAAAAAAATCACAGCAACCAATAATTATTTCACTGTACGTATTCATGGGCACGTGAGTATAGTCCTAGAACAGAGTGTGAAAGTATCCTTTAAAATCGGTCATATAGCCACGTACTCACAGCCCTCTCACTGCTGCCTTGTCCCGCCTTGAGGAGAATAAAGCACCTCTGCCTGTAAAGACCAGTGTTTGACTCAGTTTGAACAAACAGGTCAGCCTCATTCAGTGAGGCTGTTTGTTTAGAGGAAAGCCAAAGCGCTACAATAATACGTTTAGGATGTTTAGGCCAACGCTGTGGCGGCCTTCTCCTCGGACCATCGTCATTGACGTCACTGGCGGGCTGTCGGAAGTGGAGAAATGCTCAGCGGCAAAATCAACAACAACAGGCAGGCGGCTGTGGCAGTGACCGCGACCGGAGCTCTGCGTAGTTGGAAGTGAAGCGGATGGCAGGGTTGGGTTTGGCTCTGGATCACTCAGATACCAGTCATAGCAGGCTCAGGTGCGTACACAGAGTGCTCAGTGAACGGCAGCCGTGCACCATTGACCCTTACAGCAGCCTTGCAGGCCTCACACACATACTGTATAGTCCCGCACTTTCATGTATTTACTGACCTTTGCAGGTTTTGCCGTCTGGCTGCAGGGTGAATCCCACGGGGCAGCTGCAGCGCACCCCAGTGGCCGTGTCTTTGCATGTCCTGTCGCAGCCGCCATTGTTCACGGCGCAGGTCTCTGCAGACGGCGGGACAGAGTTGGGGAAAGAGAAAGAGAAGAAGGGGGGTGTTAACATGTAACCCCTGCTTCTGAAGCAGAATGACAAAGAAACTAGAGACACTGAAGGTGATGTGGGTTGAGACAAAGCTTCATGCAGTAGAAGAATACACAGTCGGCACAGTAGGATGTAATGTATTCTTGTGTTTCCTCATGTAGCTTTGTCAACACACACAGATAAAGAAATTACATCACAACACCCCAGTTTTCATGAGTAGAGACATTTTTATATAGAGATAAATACAGTGTTCATACACAGAAAGTCACAATCAGGATTTGATTATCATTGACAGCAGTGTTTCATTACAACAAGACAAAAACACATGACACTGTGCTGATAAAGGAGGGTGAAGAATTCTTTGGCCCAAAGGTCGGTCCTGTTTCCAAATGTGATGAGAAATTATCACAAATAAAAAAGGTAGGGTTAAGGTAAGTAGATAGAAAAATAAAGTTAGTGCAGGGTTGAGTGCTGTAAGTCTAGAACACACTCGGCAGAACCTGGTGTGTATATTTTCCGCCAGAAAAATGTTCTTGTATGTGGCGTAGACAAGGTTTGCTCGGACTTGTGAATATTGCCCGAACTGATCCCAAAACAAACACAAGCTCATGGTAACTCTAGCTCACCTGCCCGGCCGCTGTTGCTTTAGCAAAGCTCAGCACACACTTTCCCGATGGGCCTCGAGAAGTGCTGAGTGGGCTGAAATTTGACGTTGACTCATGTTTGTTGAAAAGGATTCAATAAAACTACACCTAATAAGGAAGTTTCACTTAGTGACTGTTCTGCTTGTGGTGGGTTTGACTTCAATAATTCCAGAGAAAATCCAAGTGAGTACATGAATTAGGAGAGAAATTTCTTGGAGTTCTTTTAGACCATATTGATTAAACTTAAAGCATACCATCAAATAAATGTTTCTTAGTTCCTATAAAAGTTGACATTGGGAATACAAAGGCTTTAGCTGGACAACAGCAACTTGTAAATTCTGGGATGTTCCCCTTCTTTTTGGCAGCTTTTCCTATTTAATTAAAATGCCAGGAGATTGTGTGCTGGAGAGAAGTGAAGAGGGAAGTAGGAAAAGCCCTTTCAGGTTGGCAAACACATCCACATCGAGAGGTCAAGGCATTAGCATAATGCCCTTTCAGAATGCGGAGTCACAAACACATCGGAGCCAAGATGCTCTGATGCTTTCTATCACGAAACAGGACGGTATTTGTAGATTTGTTTGTGTTTCTTCATGCGGCTCCAAACAACGTCAATCTCACGGCTTCTTCCCTTAATCTCTGTTTCCTAGCCGGCATTTGTTCACCACTGTGTTTATCCGTCAAAGATCTGTGTGTTCATCATTTGCAATCCTTTTCATGTCTCTCTCTGTAGAAGTTCTGAGGCCAGATAGCAAACTATTTCAAGTTCTAAACGCTGTCTTAAAAAGGAGAAGTTGTTTTAGAATGAGGGCAGGGAGTTTCATAGATGTTGTAGAAAAAACAGCAAAGAGGAAGGAAGGCTGGAAGGCCAGACACTCCATCATCCAGGCAGTCTGTCTGATGGGCCCTGTAGGGTACAACAGCAGACCCCTGTCCCCCCTACACACCCCAGCCTGGGTCTCTGTCATGTCTGTGTGTGAGAATGCGTATTGTTAAGTATTAACTTAAGGTTGAGGTCTGCGTGCCTGCACAGGTGTATATGTATATGTGCATGTGCGTGTGGAGGAGGTGTTTATGGGTCAGAGTGATTTATACTGAGTACGGTGGGCCCTATCATTACTTGAGGGTGAGCAAAGTCCTGCTCAGAGCCCCTCTCTCTGCAGGCCACGCCCAGCCCAGCCCCAGGGCCAGACCTGAGCGCGGGAACACAGGCGCACCGCTGGGCCTGATTGATGTGCTGGACAAGCCCTTCGTTACCCCCCTCAGCCCCTTCTCCAAGCCTCTACACCCTCTGTCTAACCTTGCATATTTCTGTCCTAGCCTGGTTTGTGTGTGTGTGTGTGTGTGTGTGTGTGTGTGTGTGTGTGTGTGTGTGTGTGTGTGTGGTGGGGCATATTTCTGCATGTAATTTGGGGCTTGAGGACTGGAATCACCAATGATGGATTCTGATCACATAGTTTCGTCCTGTTTGTTTAATGTTTAACCATTCTCTGTTCACTAAGTGAAGGGAAAAATTGAGAGAATGCAAATGATTGTGTGCAAGTAACTGAAGCAACATGCTAAAGGTACTTTAGTTTCATGGTTTTTAGGTTCTCTTTTTATTTAACATAAATGTTTATATATTTTTGGAATTTGCTCAGGCAGATTTGTCTGGAATCAGTTGTAACAAGAAGATTAAAGGTGCTGTAAGTAATATTTTTTTGTTAAAATAAGTGTTCTACACTCTACCATCGTTGACATAGAGTGTTTAGTCAGTAAAATGGGTCAGTAACAGTCCCTCCTTTCTGCAGTAATCACAGAATACATTTTCTGGTATCCTGTTCCTATTTTATCCAATGAGGAGAGAGAACTCCACAAAGAGGCGGTCCTCAAGGGCAGCAGAATTTCAGCGTGGTGACATGGGGAGGAGGGACAGGACTGCTAACTGCAAGAACGGAAAGGAAACAGATACCTAGCTCTTTCCAAAGGTAATATAATCTGCCTACCAAAAAAAGCTCACTAATTAACACTTTTTTTTTAGTCTGCATTTGTTGACTAGCCTAACTTGACACTCATTTTGTCTCATTTTGGAATGAAACTCTTGAGTTTTTAGCATTATTAAGTGCAGTTCATAGGCAATAATAGATTACAAAGACGAGTCATCGGATGCTCTGACTCTAGATGAAGTCGACACGAAAGGAAAAAGAGGGAATTGGCTAAATATTTAAGGTGAGGCTAGGCTGGCGAAATGAAAGCAACCGAATACAACTCTCCTCTGGCAGACTGATCAAGCATGGCAACTTCATCTGTAGGGATTACAATGTGTCAGCAAAGGGGCAGAGGAATGAGAGGGAAGACAGTAAGTATATACATGTCCATCACACTCCTCGCATGGAAACGCTGACCGCTGCAAACTGCTCTTTCCGTGAGAGGGAAGACACATGTTCTATTGATTAAAGCTGGAGAGCATGAGAGAGAAAACCATGTGTACTGTGTAAACTAAAGCATCACGCCAAGTAACAACAACTGCCGTAAGAAGGTGAGAGGAGCACGATCACCTTTCAGCACTCAACAAGATCCCCTTTTGCCCTGGAATGGGCACCTAAATCAGCTGTCAGTCAGCATAGCTCTGGCCTGTAATCACACTATATGGATGGACACACACATACACACACCTCAGCTTAGCTCCATCTGTCCTAAGAGATGGTTTATTTGGAATCCAGAGCCTAGCGACTGTAGCACCACTGAACCTCTCTTTTGACACTTCGCCACGTGTTCAGCACCTGGCTCCTGATTTAACGATTCCTTCAATATCAACATCATGAAATGTCTTCTTCATCAGGTTGCCCAAGCTCACTCATCTACTCCGCCCTCTCCTTCCCATCTTGCTCCCTTTCTTTCTCAAGCCTGTCCTGTCATCTCAGCAGCACCTTTTCATTAGAGCCTTGGTTGCGGTTCTGTTTGTCTCGATCGGTGCAGGGGCAGAGGTGGGAGCACCGCATGTCAAAGCAAGCAGACAAACTGATAGCAGTGTCAAAACTAACATACTGATGCTGTTCAGGCTGTGCCAGTGCTGCACTGGGATGGCCTCTGTGCTCTCAGCAAACATATGAATGGACACGTTTGTTCATGTACATAAGCGTGATGTAGGCAGGCACATTAAATCTTTAATTAAAACACAGACACCACTGGTAATTTCATTGTTAGGGTTAGGTTAGTATCCAAAATAAGTTAAGAAATTAATTGTTTATCCTTATCCATAAATTCCAAATTTAAGTGCTAAGTTGGACATACTTTTTGACTTACATACATTTTGACTTTTACATTGTCCTTTTCATCCTTTTTTCAAGCCACCTTATAGGCAATTTGGGTTTTAGTGTCTTGCCCAAGGACACTACGGTCAGAGCTGGGGATCAAACCCACTCTATAACTGCTGATCCACAGCCGCCCATGATGTTTAGTGCTCTCAAGCTGCATCAAAGTTTCATATTTAACAGTCCAACTTGCTGTATGTTTTAAGGTCAAGCCAACTTCAGAGTTTGCTGACATTAATGAATGACTTCTCATTTTGTTGCAAACTTTATTCCGTTGTTTCTGTATACACTTCTGAGGGGGACTGTATTGGAAACCAGCTGGCCTTCAAATTCTTCAGAAAGTTGGAGGCAACAGAACCTTTCAAACCGTAGACCAGGTTTAAGTCTGAAACGTCTTTAACAACACACTGCATCACCAGCCAGAGGTACAGCTTTGGCTGACCCGGATCTCATTGTTGAGGGTTCGAAAGGAAAGCCTGTTGGAAGGTTTGTCAAATATAGTCCCAGTGAGGTGTACATGACGTACAATAGGGCAGTCCTGGAACGCTACAGGTTACAAGCGGAACGCCATCAGGAGGGGTAACATGCTGGTACAACGGGAGGTGGTAAAGCAGGGTTTAGCCAGTGAGGAGGAATAAAATATTCAGTTAAAAGGTAATCGAGGGAGGAGAGGACAAAGATGTAGAAAAAAAACAAATGTTCCACTCTTCCTCCAAGCCACACTGGCCAGAACCTGCTGAAATGAAACTTGTATAAGTATGGAACATGGTTTAATAGACTACAGACTGTACAGCACATCAGTTTGGAGTTCCGGGATTTCTGAGGTACCACTGTCTTATAAAATAAAGAAAGGTTAAATTCAGTAGAGGAATTGAAAGTGGTGCTTTGGAAAAAGCACAACTTTGATTGGAACATCCATTTGATTTGGGGTAAGTCTGATTGAAAGATGGGTTGAAGCTCTGAAAGCAAGAAATGGTAGGTTGCATCCCTTCAGAAACCAAATCATGGCCTACTAACTCAAACAGGTACAAGTCCTTGATACTCTAACTTTCATCAATAGCCAACCTGTGGCATTTATAGTAGAGAACAGAATACCCAAGACAAACTGATGAACAGGTTTGACCAGCAGTTCCTAAAATGTTGTCCAAGGATGGGGCTCTTGAGTTCATTTAATGCAACCCCCAGAGACAAAAGCAATATTTGACTGTATTTGTCTTACATCATCATCATCCCACCAAAAGACCAGGTATTGATGTAATCCTAAAAGACACCTCTGATGATAAAAATGAGGGCTAACGTGTGATTTGAGGTCTTCAACAAGAAAAGGTTTTGGGAGCAAATATCCATTTTCGGTCTGCTGACTTTAACCTTGAAAGAACACATAGCCTAAATGATTTGCTTAGTACGTTTGGCTTTGTTAGTGAGGTATCATGTTTTTGTAATATGGGTAATCAAAAATGAGGGGAATGGAACAGAAAACATTTGGAGTAAAGTGCAACTGGGAAAGTAAATGTTAGTCATTGAGAAAACCTTACAGCCATCCAGAAATCTGGTAGGTAGAGTTAGGGAGGAAGGGTTTAAAGGAAAACAGTGACCTCTTTTACTCCGTTTTCATCACGTTAGATACTGTTGCAACAGAACTCTGACTGTGGGAGTAGACACAGTGGGCATCAAAGGTTTACAAAAAAAAAAACAGATTAACAAAATAAAGACAGAGAGAGGAGGACTAGGAGGAGGAACGGAGAGGAGTGGAGTCGGGGATACAAGCACAAGCGCCATGGCAACACATAGAAAGAGGAAGAAAAGAGTTACCCATAAGTAGCCGCCGTTTCACCCGCTTGTCCACATCAGCTACTGACGTGGCATTGAACTCAGAGCTCTCAATTGCAGCCTCATCTTTCTCTAAAACACAAGTGACAAGGGGACAAACAGTGAGCAGCAGGTTAATGAGAAGCCCAAATGACCAGACCTTCAGCCCCTCTTGGCGTTTGAGCAAAAAACCAAAGCCAAGAAGCAAGAAGCGATGAAGAAGCGCCAAAATCCCTGTTAGAGTGTTAATTCCCAAACAAATGATAAATCCCCCAGAGCAAACAAAATAACAAAACAAAATAAATGAAAATGATCAGTATCAGTGTGTAGCTTACAAAATGAAGCGGTAGGTAGGCAAGTAGGTAGGTAGGGAAGGGGAGGGGGAGGAAGTTCAGGGTCACATATGAAAAAAGATTTTAAAAAAAGAAAGGTAGAGGTGTGGGGGTTTTGGGGATGGAGTTGGATTGGGGTGAACGTTAGGGGATTTTAATTCTGGTGTTGACGTTGCTGTTGTTGCCGAGGAAGTTTCTGTCTTCCATATCAAACAGCCGCACTTTGTCAGCAATGATTCCCTTGCGTTAGGATGGAGGAGGAAGACAAGAAAGAGAGAGGAGGGGAGGATACATGTCCAACATTTCCAAGACAAGCTGCCTTAAATGTGACAGAGGCAAAGAAAAAAGGGGTGACGATGACGACAAGAAAAGAGAAAGGGTGGCGCGGGGGAGGACGAGAGGTCAAACAACAGAGGGAGGAGCTCGAAGAAGCGAGCAAGGACAAGATGATCGAGAGGGAGTGATGAACAGAGTAGGGGAAGAGAGCAAGGGACAGAAAAAAGGCAGAATCGGTCCCATCATGACCCACAATGGGGGGGGTATATGAGGGAAGGAGGGTTGCACACACTGGGAAATGGGGTTTGAAGGGGGAGTGTAAGGAGTACATGCAGAGAAAAAAAAAGCAGGAGGAGGTAGTCTGGGGGCAGCGCTGGTTGCCTGTTTGTCTATGGAACACATCACAACTGGCTTTAACAGTCAACGCTGGAAAAACCAGGTTCCCAAAGCTGGGCAGCGGAGGTGGAGGGGGCTAAGGGGTGGAGTGAGGAGGGTGAGAAGGGGGAGAGGGAGAGAGGAAGGTGGCGGTGGGGATGGCTATGGTTGTAGAGAGGGTGAGGTTGTTGTTAATATGGCATGCATGCGGTGCGGTGGGGATGGTGGGCTTGGCAATGGGGCTGGGAGAGGGCGGTGGCCTTTCACTGAGTCATTAGGGCCTGAATGAGCATCTCTCTGTGAATAGACGCCACTTGCCGCAATAAAGACAGGGCTTTGATGTACACACACGGTCCTATGGGATGGTGGGGGGTAATTAACGTCCCTTCCATTCCCCGGCCCACTACCAGTTTTCTCTTAGGCGCTTGATGGACAAAGTGGAGTACTTTCTGAAGTACACTCAGGGATGAATGGAGGCTTTCTGGTGCTCAGTTAACGGGTGAAATGTGGCTGTGTGAATGTGTGTGTGATTGTTGAATCGAATGCTTGTGCATACCAGCGTGCGTGCTTTTGAGCGTCTGCTTGCTTGAGTGTGTGAAAAAATCTGTCAGAGAGGGAGATAAAATGCAAGTGTGTGTGTGTAAAGGTTGGATGTGTAAGACAGGTTGAGAAGGGGTGGGAAGAGAAGAGTCCCACTTGCTCCTAAAAAGTCTATGGGACTAAGCTGAGGCCCACAGAGAAGGGGAGTGTTTTAAAGAGCCAGACCTACACAGGACGAGGAGGGGGAAGAGTTAAACCACTCTATGCTACTACAGCTAGGAGGAGAATGGTAAAAAAAAACAAAAAAACAATGCACTGGAAGGAAACAGAAGGACCAGGGTCGCTAAAAACAACAACAATAGAAATGTACTTAAATTCAAAAAGGGAAAAATGAAAGAAAAATAAAACCATACAAATGCAGTGCAGGCTCTCCCATGCAGCTGGACAAGAGGACAAACGAACAGATGAACAGAAAGATTAGTGAAAGAGGCAGTGGCAGACCAATGGAGGATGTGGCACATGTGAGTGGACACAGTAAAAACGGCATGTTATATGAGTGGAGAAAGGTGAGCTGAGCAAGTCCCTGCCTCTCTGTTAAGGTGTATGGAGCAAGAAAGGGGGCTGATGAATGGGGGCAATGAGGCACGGAGGTCACGTTGGTGCTTTGGTTTTTTGGTTTTCGATGAGTCAGTTGCTTTTTGTTTGGACTTGAGGAGGTGAAGGATGTGGAGGTGGTGAGAGAGCTGGATGAGGAGGTTAGGTTTGCTTTCGTGGGAGCTTTACCTAAGATCAGGCTGCAATTGAGTTGTCTGTTTTTAACCACTGAGTCTAATACGTCGCCCCCCCGCCCCCTACCCACAGTCACTCTTTCCTCTTGTGCACCGAGAAATAATCCTTTAAATCCACCTGATTTTGGTTTTAACATGGATGCTCAGACTAGACAGGCAATCAGGTACTATCACCAGAAAGCAGGAGGAGGAGTAGGGAGGAGGAAGGAGGAGCAGAGGGACAGCGCTACATAGAAAGGGTGAAAGGGAGGGTGGGGGGGTTAAAGGCAGGCCCCTAGAGCAGTTGGGACACTTAGACCACAGATACAGAGGTCCTTTCTCTCGTCAAAGTGTGAAGAGAGACAGAGAGGGAGACAGAGAGAGAGAAAAGACATTGGGAAAGGAAGGAGAGGAGGCTTTCCCCGTTCGCTCTCATTCTGCTTCCTCTTCGAAGAATTTCCTCGATGGTGTGTTTCATTTCTTCAAAGTAGCTGGAAAGAAAAAGGGGGTTATGGGCAATCAAAACCTGGTGCTGCCGAAAAGCAGCACGGGAATCTGCTCGAGAGGTGAGGCTGAGGGACAGAGAGACAGAGAGAGAGAGAGAGAGAGAGAGAGAGAGAGGGAGTTTCCAGTGTTCGAACACAGCAGGAAAAACAGCACATCAAAATGACATCAGATAATATGTCCATGTGTGATCATTCTGAGATGTTTCTCAGTTCACAGTCAGGAATGAGTGTGTGCAGGTGGTTCTAATCTCAGCAGTTCACATATAACAAAGTGTTAAATCACACTTACACTTTGTTTTCTTTTGCTTTTAACCACATGGAAAAGTTGACTTGATGTTTTTTTTATTATTTGTAAGGTTTATACTGCCCATTACAAATGAACGGGAACTTGTAAACAAAAGTCACATGGACTCCTGAGCGGCACATTAATTGGACAGAGATCTGGTGACCCGTCATCCCACCAGGGTTATTGATTCTGGCAGCAGGGGAGTCAAAACTACTTCTGATTCCAAACTTCAGTGCTTACTGCTTCTGGGATTTCTGTCTAGAATTAACTGCTAAGAACAGCTTTTTGTATTAGTTCTGAATACTGTAGCCAAATGTGACAGCAGTCCAGCCTGTGGTTTGGTCTCGGTTCATTTTGTCATGCTAAACTTTCCGAGTTTGAGGAACTGGTGGCTATCAGTTGTCAACCTCTGTCTCATTATACCCATTAATCCTGGATTTTTGGGAAGTTTTCTGTAATTGATTTGGATATGGTCCTTACTCCTGTCAAACCACGTGGCAGTTCTTCTAGGCTGAAGGGACCTTCCTTTTTTAGGTGTTTTGGTGCTACCTGAATTTAAAGATCTTGACCCTCATCTATTCAAATGAACCAAACTGTAGAAGAGCTGTTACCTCAGAGTTCTAATGAAATCTTCTATGTATGCCTACATATGTCCAAGTTTCACGTTGTGTTCAGACCAAATGCAAAGCAAATTCTCACCTCAGGCTACTTGCACAAATATGGCCACTGGAATGGTTTTTGACACTGAATCACAGAATCAAACAGTTTCTGATTCTTGGTGACATCAGGACATTCACTCACAGACGCATATTTGTGTCTTTGCATTTACTTGTAATTGTGCCATACAAAATGTCTTTGTGGTTGGTCTGAACACACCATGACAGTGTTAGCAAGCCAGCTCAGTCAGAATCACACATGTTAATACATTTGTTGTATTAGAGCTGACCATTGTTATTACCTGATCCCAGTACAGGTTTTGCTTTTTGATTTTTTTAAGTTTTGCACACAGTTTATTCATTCATACCTTCCAATTAATCATTTCAACACAAAGAAGAAAGAAAAAAACGAAACAATATGTTAACAAATGACCGTTTGAACACTTTGTTGGGGCCTTTTGCCTTTAATCGACAGGACAGCTCAAGATAGACAGGAAAAGGAGACAGAAAGAGAGGGGATGACATGCAGCAAGGGGCTGCAGGTCGGATTTGAAACCATGGCCGCTGCAGCAAGGACTCAGCCTTGGTACATGGGGCACCAGCTCTGCCAGGTGAGCTACCAGGGCGCCCCTTGGTTTATTTAGTACTGCATTACATAGGAACAACTGTGCAGCTAAGTCATTTGACAAAAGTAATTTAAGTAAAGTGCAGGTGATGTTTGAGTCAACAAATTCTTAATAAATTATTTTGAGGGTACAAATTACAAATATGTGCACATAGATTACAGGCCCTTGAGGCCAATATACTCAAACTACAACCAGTGTGACTGGAACAAGCTGCTATAGACTGGCTACGAGAGCAAAGAAGTGGTGATTAAAATTGCTCAGGCTCTACTAACTATTTCTTATGTTTACATCAGTAGGTGGAGAAAACATTATGAACAACTCCACTTACCTGGAAGGCCTTATCCATCCTCTATTGATTAGAAAAATGATGAAAATGAATATCCTCTATGTGAGAGCCAGGACGTGGAGGCATGCTTCTGTTGACACTGTGTACAAATGACCTGTTTGGGTAGAGAGAGCTGGCTGCTGGCTGCTGGCCGGGCTCTCTGAGTCGAACTGAGTTTTGACATGATGAATGTGTTTTTCAGAGTGGGAGATGTGTCAGTCATTCATTTTCCACCAGCCAACTCTGTGATTTCTCTAACACTCAAAACATATTACTGTTCATTCCTTGGCCCTGACACTTTACCACTGTGATACTCACTCCAGGACGTACTATGGGCATATCAGTGATTGAGACATAGATGCAACATAGCTTTCTATTTGTACCTTGCACAGTCTGATTTACTGACCGCCCTGCTGCAGTTTGATACTATTTCCAACGGGAATCCTCTGGAAAGCCTCATCCTTAGCCATTGGATATTAAAAGGAATGCTCTGGTGAGTCATTGGTCTCACTGGTTCAGAGAAACATAAAACTTGGGTTTTTAAGATTTGTAAGGCTGTCAGAAGTGACATCTTTAACACAGGAACACTTTAACAATGCCCTACAACAGCCAGAATGTAATGGCCATGAATCCACAGATGGGTTTACACCCGAGGCACGTCTACTAGTCTGTCAGTAGTAGTTTAATAGTTGCCTGAAATTAAACAAGGTACTCTGGAGCATGAAAATCCGATTCAGGCTATTATAGAAGTAACATTGAGAAAACAATGTTCAACTGGTCGAATTTTTAAATCCTTGTACTTATTGGGAGCAATGATTTGAATATTTTGCTTAAAATAAAAAATCGTATCAAAGACTTTTTTTACCGCTCATGGTCACTGTGCATTAATTGGTGATTCGATTTCAGCTTGTGCAAAACTGAAATTAATGATAAATATTATTATTATTTTTTCTATTTGCAATCTACTGACAACCCTGCAGTAGTGGTTCCGGTGGTTTATACACAATAAGAGAATCGTTTACACTACTAATCTGTATCTGTATCTATTTAACCAATTCTTATTCTTATCAGTGCTCTGAACGGGCGGGGGTTAAACAGCAAGAGGGTGGAACTGGAAGTTGTTATTCAGACCTAAAATTGATATAGGTTGATCAGAAGTTGCTATATTTTTTAGAAAACTATTTCCGGAAGAGTCTCAGAATTGAGCTTCAGAGCATTTTTTCTGATCACAACAGAAATTTACATAACAAGTTTTTCAAATGAAAGTTTCTCTATTTATGAGTACGCATATTGACACATTTTACTCTGATGATAGTCATACTTGTAAAAAGCACATTATCCATACTGGATACTTGTTACAGCCGAGTAGTAGCTCACCCCACTACCCATGCAGGTTAAATTTATGGTATAGTGTGCATGAAGCTCGACTGCAGCTTTCATAAAGAAACCACTGCTTGAATAAGGTCCCATTATTATGTTTTTCACTGAGAGCATTTCTGAAGAGCTGCAGGGCTATAATAACAGAGTCTCATCCATCTCTTTTGTGACCAGCAGGGTGTTAGACGAGGCTGGGGGTAAGGGGAGAGGATAGTTGGGGAGCTAGGAGATGATCTATCTGCCAACTCAACCCCCCCCCCCCCATTTTGTCACTTTTCTTCTTTTAAATCAGCTGTGCTACACTGAAACTGTCCATCATACAACAGATGTTACTGTCAAACAGCTGTGAGGGCTCCAGGGTGTGTGTGTGTGTGTGTGTGTGTGTGTGAAGCCATCTTGGTTGCCACTCACCGATGCAGGTCTTGCTGTCTGAGTGCAGGGCGTACTTCTGGTGGCAGCCGCACACCGGCCCCGTGTCCGTGTCATCGCATGTGTGCTGGCAACCGCCGTTTCCATAGTTACACGTCACTGAAGAAAACACACACACACATTCACATCTTACTCCTTGCTTCTATATTATCTGTAAAACAAGGCTTGTCCCATTTTAAACATCCACTAATTCCCTACTTTGCTACAATATTGATATGTTGGCCGAATATACCAGACAGAAGCACCAGAGGGATTTATACTATTCAGTAATAAAGAAGCAAAATGATGCCCGCCCGGATATATGGCCATGACAGGTAGCCATATATCCAGTCAGGCATTGTAAGAGGATGAAGAGAGAGAGAGAGACAGGAAGAGAGAGTGGAAAGATAGTAATACGTTCTTACAAATACAACAGCTTGGCCCTATATGCTTCAAACTATGACGCTGTAGGTATCCCTGGTGTTGTTTTGCAAGTGCACGGCCCAACAGTTACCAATAATAAATATGCAATGTCTAGTCATACTTAAAAAATAAAACTGTCTGAGAAACATTTCATGTCTTATAAGTTGCTGCGTGCAAGAAAGGAGTAGGAGACCTTCAGGTGACCTTTATTTTCACGGTTAGAACAATCTTGGAATTGGCTATCGTCTTTTGAGAATTTGGCCTCTGGGTGCAAAGGTAATGTTTCTGGGCTTCCAGTTCAGCCAGCGGATATCCGAAAATTGGATAACAGATTTCTGGGCCAAGACTCCCTCTGCAGTCTGATTAGCAACTTCATAACGCGCGAATGACAAGAAAGAAACATTTCTGCTAATCTCTCTAAACAGATTTCTGCATATACATGCAGATACGTTTTTAAAATTCTAATAAAAAGCTAAATTGTCTGATCTTTCACTTATGGTCAGTTGGTTAGGGAAAGATCATGGTTTGGGTGAAAATGACTATCTTATTAAGGTTGGAGGACCTTCGTCACCATAATTACATAAAAACCACAAAGCCACGTAAACTGGGACTAGGTTCTTGTGTTTGAAAGCTTAAGTTCCGAAGTTCTTAAAAAGGTTCCTGACTTCTTGGAAAACTTGCTGCGGTCAAAAGTGGCCTTAAGTGGAAAGGGAGACTACAACGGGGAAAGGTTTCTTTTTCTAAATTCTTTCTTGACAAAGAACAGAAGAGGTCGTAATGAGGAGGTTTCACTCCAGGACTTCTCTTGGAGACTTTTTGAGAACTCAGAAGCCCTTATCCACCAGAGAAACCAGGTTTCAACTTTACCTCCTTGGCCCAAAAACAGCCAGCTAAGTAGTATTTTTTGATAGACCACAAACTCTTGTGATGGAGTTTGCCATAATAAACAGATATGATTTGTGAAACACAAACTACGTTTTCAATCTTTTTCAGAATTTTCTTAATCTTCACAGTTCTCTGGGTAAAAAGGGAAAGCAAGCACGAATATACTTTGTGAACTCTTTGGGAGTTCTTTCCTAAATTTTGAAGTTCCCTAGCCTGGACCACTTTTGGATCTTCTGATGACTCTGAGGAGAAAAAAAGAAGGGGAAGAGAAGATGGTAGAAAAGAAAGAAAAAGTAGAACGGATGAGGCAGAGAGAGAAGGATGTGTGACTGTGTGTGGAGGCGTTGTAGACATAACTACCATTTCTTTCATCACTCGTTTACTACCGTCCTGTGCCGCCATGCTCAACAGGCCGGCACAGCACTGGCTCCCTCGTCGCTAATGAAATATTACCACAGCGGGGGACGCATTAGAGCCTTTCAGAGGCTTTCACAATCTTTACACTCTCACCGTCTGAGAGGAGAACAAGATGTGTTGCCAAACAAAGTGTAACTAAAAGCTTATTTTTCCCCCCTCAAAAACAGCAGCCCTAAATTCCATGGCTGCAGGCACTCGGCGTGAAGAGCGAGGAACAGGGATGGAGTGGGGAGGGTGGGGGGGTGGTTAGAGACATGAATTCTCTCTACTGAATCCTTCAGCACCTTCAGCTTGGCCTGAAACGCTTAACTGATTTTGGTATTAAATGTCTTCCCTCATATTTTACCGCTGAAGGCCTACTGGAACTTGTCCATCATTGCTATTACAGATGTTTATTACAGGAACAGTTAAGATCCTTCATCGCACCAGTATGTAACCGCAATAAAATCAAGTTTATGAAACAAAGTGTTAATACCTTGCTGTCATGTGAATTGTAAAATAAAGTGACAAGTCAATTGATTGTGTGCATTTGATTGCATGTACGGTTATAAGACATCCGATGTCTGTGAGCTGCTAGTTTAAAGCCCCTGTTGGGAAAATTCATTATGTGTTAATTCTGGCAACCTCTGTGGACAAAAGCGGTAGTGTTTCTACCACCTCCACTACCACTACCTCGATTCATTGATTTCAATGGGGATCAGACTGAATATGACCCAGTGTCAGTCATTAAGAATGACTATACAGAAATAGCCAATCTTCTCGCTAATTTTATAGAGCCATCAATATTAAATTGAAACTGCAGTTGTGGGGTAGTGCTGAGGTCAGGTGTGATACATACATGTACAGTCTTTCTGGTTTTTGGCCAGCTCAAAGCCAGGACGGCACTCGCATGAGACCCCGCCTTTGCCTGGAGCCTCTCTGCAGATGTGGGCGCAGCCGTGGTCCTTGTTCATGCAGTTCATCCCATCTGTGGAGAAGACAGAGTCAGAGGAACTTTAATGACTTTTTAAAGCTGTGAAACTTTTGTTTGATTGTACAGAAGTGAACTCATCTGACATCATCTCCACTGGTACACTTGAGTTATAAAGAGTAGAAGGAAGCCCAGGAAAACTTGGCTTCAAAGTAATTAAACGTAAAGTATTTCTCAGTTTGGTCCAGGCTGAAATATGTCAGCTACTTTAGGATGGATTTCAATCAAATTCTGTACATATATTCATGGTCCCCAGAGGATGAGACCTACTGACATTTTGTAGTTTTTACTTATCAAGAGAAATATCTTCAGTCAAGAAGCCCCCAAGTTGGGCCTCGTTCAAATCAGTCAAATCACTGCTTTTTTAGCTGTGTCATTGTACACAGAGCAACTCAGGATAACAGTATGGCAGTCTATAAACTTACAGAAGCTACAGAATGTACTGTGATGGAAATGGAGAGCAGGGTTCTCTGAATGTTAGTGGAAGTTGGCTGAACCAGTTTTAAACCAGATGCTGGTACCACCTCCTCTACTGCCGTCCAGTGTGATCAGTACTTTGGCTTACAGCACCTGGCATGAGAGGTGTTCCGTGGTGCACTGATGACTTTATAACTGAACTATGAGTAGGATGCAATCTGAAATCTGATATTTTTACACCAGGCATTAAAACATGAGTTTCACATGTAAAAACATGATATCTGACATGTAAACTGCTGAAGTTTAGCGAGGGGGCAGTTGCTCTGCTGATGAGCTGCACTGTACTGTAACTGGGTGAAGGAGAGAATAATATATTTCTCATAATTGTAGGTAAGAGGTACAGAAGAACAAACTGTATTTATGAAAAGGAAAATCTATAAATAAGACAAAGCAGGAACCCCAGGCACATAACAAGTTCAAATAAGAAAGTGGAGTGTAACCCCTGTTGTGTAAAATCTGTAATTCCCTAAAGGATGAATTTACTGTGATTGTGTGGACTGTGCTGACAACTTTAATCTACCGCATCATTGTGACACCCATAATCACAGCTGAGAACAACCTCAGGAGACAGCAAGGAGACTTGTAATCGAGGACCTGTGGTTTCTCTGGTGTCTGTGACAGTGAGCATGATCCTCAGGCTGAGCGGAACAGCCAAGGATCATCAAACCACTGTTTGCATTTCCTAATTGCTAAAAACGTTTTATGCTTTCTGACATCCCACTCTCTCACACACTAAACACCAGACACATTTCCTCGCCTTCATCAGCACCAATTAAGCCCTGCGCCGTAATTTATGGCTCCACTCAGCCCATATTCTCAGCTGTCACTGATCCGAGGCTTCTTCTTGTCAGCCCTGACACAGCTGGTCATCCCTCCTCCTGCTCGCCTTCTTATCCCTCCATCCCTCCATCCCTTCATTCCTTTGCCCGGGCCTGTTTGATGTGGTCTCCTATCCTGGTGATTTACAGAGCACAGTGTGGCAATAATATCTGAAAAAGGCCAGTGTTTAAATCTTCATCAGCGGGGAGTGGAGCTGGGGGAGGAAGTGAGGAGGCGGAGGACGGAGGGCCAATGCTCTCCAGAGAGGCGAGTAGGGAGGGAAAAGCCAGCCAAAGATATCACTGAGCTCTGGGAAGAACTGGAAAAGTTAGTTTGGGAGTGCGTAGACGTCTACTCATCATGGCACAATCAGATGTCTTCACTCACAGAAGATGGTTTCTTTCACAACATTTGTGTATTGTATGTGTTTAAGCTTTGTTACACTATGATGTTTTCCACCACCGCAAAAAGGACTCCCTTAAAAGGACACCTTTGTTAACAGGACGTCATCATTTTGTTTCTCAGTCTGTCATCTCCCGTTCTTTGCCAAAGTTTCTCAAGGGTTGAGAAGAAGAAGTTCGCCGCCTCAGCCAGAGGAAGTCTGCAACCTGCTGTTAGCCCCTTGCATCGTGTATGTACCCAGTATAACTCCTGAACTGCGCACTGTAGAAACAAAACACTTGGTCCAACACCAATCTGTTTCTGTCTGTAAAGATTTTCCACTAACGGTTACAAATTTCACCCACTCTTCACCAGATTTCATATATAACACACTTAAACATAACACACATAAAACCATAGCCTATTTGACATAAATTACCATCATTTTTGAAAGCATCGTGCCATTGCAACAAAATGTTGGTGACCAATGAACACTATTATTACTATCACAAGAGAGATCCTGCATCCTGCACTGCAGTGCAACAAAAGGAATTAGAAGGGCCATAACTCTGTCTCAGTTGAATGTTTGCAAGGTTTATCCTTTCCTAGTATGTAGATAATCCAAAAATCATGGTAGTCCATCACTAAGTTTGTTTTGATAAGATTAGAGCCAAATGCTAAACAAATTTTTGTAAAGATTATTAAAATAACAAAATGTGGATGACTGTGCATGCTTTCTAGACATAGCTGTATTTGGCTGGCTCTGCTCTCAAGGATGCTCTCCAAACAAATCCAGCACCATGTGGAGGATTTAAGTTGTACTCAGTAACAAGTATTTCATTTTTAAAGAAGGAAATGTGAATCCCCAAACATTAACTTGATTGACATTCATTTGCATCTTTTCCCCTTAGGATTTGCATTTGTGTGGTAGCACTCACCACACTCCATCTAGAGCTGGTTCAAAGACACACCCCTTCCATGGTCCCCATGGTGAATAATGTCCCTTCATGGGGCCCAAGAGCGTTTCAAGTACCTCATTAGGGTGCCATTCCCCCTAGAGAGTCCCCTTCACAAACAAAAAGTCCTTTCTTAAACACTGCCATTCTAGCTGTCCACTCCCAACAGGACCATTCCATCAAAGTCCAAAATCAAAGGAGCCAAAGGAAATTGTGCATTTACATGATTAACAAAAGATCAAACAAAATTTGCCCCTCTGTTCAACATTCACATTATAGAATTCAGACAGTATATTTCAGTTAACATTAAATTGGGCATATACTGATGCACAGCTAAATCTGGACCCTGTATAACCCAGAAAACTAACAGCGCAATGAAGCCGGGGGGCTAAAAAAACTTTAAACATTTGCCAAAGCATGCACCAACCCTGTTTGAAAACTAAACTCATAAGAAAGCAGAGTATCTACAATCAATTTAAACCTGGGAGAAGTTAAATAAACTGAGGCAGAGGGAGAAGGTGGACACAGGCCTGGGACTCAGCACAGTTGAGCCTAAAACAACAAACAGAGTGGCGGCGGCGGCGGCGAACTGTGGGCCCTCAACGTGTCCGATGTGACGAGGCCGCGAGTCGGCCGAGGAGCAAAGCCTGCAGCTCACCGACACATTTACCTGTCAGACCTGAATAACCCACACAGGTCCCTGGGTGCATATTCTCAGATCTGATGTCGAGCTCTGTTTAGCTCAACATCAGCGGTGACCTGACAGAGACAGGCACAGACCACATAGACAGTCAGATAGAAATGAAACAAATATAACAGTGACACACAAAAACCTCCCGTAGGACAATTCATTATCAGGCACAATACCTGCACAATTCCTGCAAGACTCCTTCACAACTCACAACATAAACCTGAGGGACTTTTTGTAAAGAAAATACTGGAAACATTTGGGTACGTAGATTATTTAGGGGTTCCAAGCTCTATAAAACTGAGATAAAAAAAGAGCAAAACTTAAGGCAGGTAAGGTGTTTCATCTGTGTTTGACAGAAAACCACTTTTATGCTCATCAAAACAAGTTTCAAACTGTAAGTGATACTGACAATGTGTGTAATGTTGTAGCAACTAGTTATGTTCTTTGGGATATGGCGTGAATGACTCGAGTTCACTTACATCCGTGAACATTATGTCAGCTTTACATGATGAGGAACAGCAAAATTCACCATCTGACCACTTCTGCAAATCAATGATGAAACCTGGGAAGTATTTTTGTGGCATGATATTAAAAACGCTGATAAAATGTCGGCATACATCTGAAATGAATGGAAAGAAAATCCAAAAGATGATGGTATGTAATCTCCCACGTGCTTCTTTACGGTAAAGTGGTGTCTATAGCCAGCTTTCTATCCACATGTAATTCTAACTAGATTTTGAGAAAATCAGAAAAAGAAAATGCTAAATAATGCACATTTCCATCCATTACCCTTTTGCGATTATTAGGAGTTAGTTCAGCTGATGGTGCTTATCTTCCTGTCAGGTGCCATTAAGCCAGTGCAGAAGAAGGGGACACAGCAAGAAGGATGGGGAGGGTTATTAGATGATGGAATTAAATGATGCCTACATTAAGGTGATTATACACCAATGAAAACATACCTATGAATATTATATTCCATTTTTGACAATAGATCCTCCCAAATATTACACACTGGTCCTTTAAATTAAGGAACATTGTCTCCTGATCAATCCATTTAGATCTAATGTTTTCATCTGTTGCTATTTTTTGTCTCTTTGGTTGGACTTAAGTCACATGCTTCATGTATGTCATGATTTATTTGTTATCGTACAGCACTTAGCCCAGGGCTAAAAAAAAAAAAAGGGCTTAAATTGTTGTGAGGCTAAGGGACCTGTTAGCCCCAGGCTAAAGGGCTTTTTCACACTGCATATTCTTAGCATGGTGTATTGTTAGCCCTGGGCTTTGAAAAGGGGCTAAATGATCCCAGGGTCAACTCTTAGCCCAGGGCTATCATTAACCATGGGATAAGAGTATGCAGTGTGAAGAGCCTATACGTCAACTTCCATTGCACTTTGTCACATTTTGCTTTTATTGATGCAACAACTTTTCTACCTTAGGCTAGCTAAAACCTGTTTGCAATATTTTAAGATTTTTTTAAAAAAAAACAGGTCGATAGAAACGCACCTTATGTCTCTTTTGACAGCAATTCTCCAATTAGCAATGAAAAGGTAGAGAGAAGGTAGCAGTTTATTCTTTCCAGCTCGGTGTGCAGCTTTGTTTAGATTGGGGAGGTCAGCAGGTTTACAACTACCGAAGCTCCTCACTGGGAGACCCAGCAGGTCCAGATAAAACAC